TAATGCTTGCTCATTCCTCAGTTCTTGGAAGTTCAAATTGTTTCCATTTCTGCCTTCTTTAAATAACACTGTGTGGAACATCTTTTCTATGTATATCTGTGTGAGAGACTCTCTTCGTATTCCCTTAATACAAATCCTAATGATAAGTTTACTGAGTTAAAGTCAGTTGTAATCTTTGAATCCTGCATTTAGCATTATGCATTGGTAAGTTTTAGAATAAGAAAGAAAACTTGTAGGGTCTGAAATGAAAATATGCTCAAAAGTAGTCTTAATCTCTTTGAAGTCTATCTAAGATTAGCCTCTGATCAAGTTCTTAGTCTTCTCCTTTCTGTGGCTTTTCTGTGAGCTACCTCTCTCTTTCTGAATAAAAATAAGTTCCTTGCTCCTTACACATGGCATTACCCTATTCAGCAGTACAGTTGTAACTGCATCATTTTGCTCTGCACACTTCTAAGGAATCCCTTGTGTTTGATGATGTAAATTAGTGACATAGTGTATGTCAGAATACTGAGGCGGAAACCAAATGTTTCCATTAAAATTCTCAAATCTAGAGATTAAGTGAAAAGGGGAATGACTATCACAATGAAAAAAAAGGAAATTGATGACTCAGGGCATTTTTCTTATTTGAAGATCCACTTTGCTTTTGACAATGACTTTAGCATTCCCCTCTTCCAGACCCTTTGTGCAATTTTTCTTGGTTCTTTCAGAGAGTAAAGTTGGTAGACATTCTCACTTCATTTCAACCTAGAGGAAATTAGGTCCAGGGAAATCCAATCTCTTTCCCAGCATCTCAGGTTTTGTTAATCTTGGTGACAAAATGGGAAAGAGATTAACTTCTGTTTGGCTTGCCTGATACCCAGCTGAGCTATCCAATGTCTTTCCTATTTCCATCTAGTCAGTAGGACAAACACAAGTCTTAATCTCAACAGGATGTTTAAAGGAACTCAATGTGTATATATTCATTTTGGGAAAAAGTAAGCAACTCTTGGAGAAGAAGTCAGTAGAAGTCAGTAGTGGCTCTAGAAATATAAAAATGCAATAAAATGTTCTGAAATTTGCTGCATTTATCTTACTTAAAGAGCTAGTATAGACCTTATTGTGGTATCTGTGGGTATGTATATGTTTGTAAGTAAATAAAGCTTTTATTGTTGTGGAAGATTCTAAAATAGGTAATAAAGCCATCCATGATATCATTGGCCCAAGAACACATGGTTTCAGTGTATAAATTTCTGTGCTTTATTCCCAAATGCTTTGCATTCTGTTATATTTTTACCTTTTTCATATAAACTTTTGTGTACAACCATTTTAAAATTCCACTAAGAATAATACTTGCCATTTAGGTATATGAGAACATGTTCAGTAGCATAGTTTATGGCCTTGATAGCTAAAGGAAAGAGATTCTTCCTCCTCCTCATGTTAATTGGTCAGGTATCAGTCACTAGCAGATCATTTGCCATTTGTTTTCTCCAAAGGGACACCTTGTTCATTGGAAACTTTAGAAATTCAGGCCCCCAGGTTTTCTCACTTCTGTAGATCACACCCAGACTTACACTTTGAAAGTACACTTCCCCGTGAAATTTTCTGGGATCCCTTTGAAGTAGCATTTCCTAGTTCCAGGCTCTAAGAGCAGATGGTGCTGTCCGTGGATTCTTTCTTCTGCCTCTTCTCAAAACCCCCCGTCCTTTCCCTGAAGGGAGCAAATGAGCCCATTAAGACAGGTGCTCTTTCTGCCCATATGCCTCCTATGTAGTATGTGACATGATTTCTACAAGACGGGCTTCCTGCTTCCCCTGGGAACACAAAATTTACCTTTGTCCTAAGGAAAACCACTGACATGCTGTTAGTATGGGATGGTTCTGCTTTCTGTGGCCTATCTAAGGTCGGATGCCCTGCAGTCACCTCCAGCTAAACCAGAGCCACTTAGCAGGATTTCTCAGTCTTGGAGAAGTCTGCCAAAAAGGGATCTCTTTTAGTGCTTTTCATTAGGTCTTCCCAGCTATTTTCGGCCCATCTGAATAGCTTTAGTTGAAATAAATTATAAATTGTCATCAGGAGCTTGGTTCCAACATTCATATTCATTAGATTTTAAGATTTAATGATGATGTGGACCTAAAACAAATCTTTGATTTCTTCTTTTTTTAGCAGTCAAATGGAGTCTCTTGATTTTTGACTTTTTAAACACTGTTTTGTGGGCACATTTGGCTCCTGTCAATGGTGTGGCTTTTTAAAAAAGAAGAGTTTTGGCAACTAGCCAGCACAGAAGAGCAAATCCCTCTTTAAATTAAAGAACTTTATTTGTAAAACAACTTGTTGGGTCACTTGAGCCTAGGATTTTTTAGAAGGGTCCATGGACTGCTTCTCCAGAGCAAACAGGCTAACTGGTTACCACAGTATGCTTTAGACTGGTTGATTTTGTGCAGTTAATGGAAGGGGCATTAATTAATTAATGTTTAGTTTATTGCCTCAACAAGATGTGAATATGGTGTTGTGGAAAGAATTCTAGATTAAGGTTGAAGCCTGCTTAAAATAGTCCATCCACTCCCTGTCCCTTATATCCCCACTGGAAATACTTCACTTAGCGATATTTGTGTGTGACAGTCAAGAGCACGGATGTGTCTGCATCTGTTTAATACCCATCTCTTGTGCCTTCCCTTCAGCTTCATGCTGTTCTCATTCAGTGCTATAGTTTGGAGACAACCGTCCATGCTGTCACTAATAGAGGTAGCTTGTACCTTTTAACCTCTGCTTCATAGGTTGGCTGTCCCTGAGTTTATCTAGAACTTCCAGTTGTTTCCAGATTCTTTTTATACTAGTCACGCTGCAGTGAGCAGCATGTACCTGCAAAACTTTGAATGTGGGTGAGAATATTTCACTATGATAGAGGATCCAAAGTATCCTTTATTTTATATATGAAAATCTTAAGAGATTGAGGATTTGAGATGGTCAGAGTTTTAGAACTGATAAGCAGAGTGTAAATTGAAGTCATTTTCCCTGACTCCTCCTGACTAGTTGGAGATTCTTTACAAAGTTTTGTAGAGGGTTGTTGGAATCCTGGGTGATGACAAGTCTAGCAAAAGCTCACTCCAGTGAAGTATTGTTTATTCCAATGCACTAAGAAGATCAGTCTGAATTAGAGAAAAATCTATATTTAAAGATGTAATATTAGACCATTTTAATGTGTACACAGTGACCCAAAACTAATATCACTTGATAAAATTCCTTAAGGGACTCTCATTAATGAACAAATCAAAGTGGCACCTAATAATTATTTTTAAGAAAAAATGACACATCTAAATCGCTCAAGACAGTTATTCTCATCCATAGGCAAAATATTTCCCCTAGCATGTTAAAATGCAATATATATATTGCATTGCGCAAATTTGCCAGAATTGAGAGAGTGATAATCCTTGTCCTACTGTGGCATAGTTTCCTTAAAAGAGTCCTCAGACCTGCGTCAGAATCTCCTGGGATGTGTTTTCATTCTGCAGATTCTGGGCCCCTGATGGTGGGCCCTGGGATTCTGCTTTGATAAGAAGTTGCCAGGTCCTCCTGGCATGCACTCTGAAGTCCCAGAACCACTGTGCCAGACCATGGTGACCTCCTTTCGGTGAGATGATGAGCCATCCCAGAAGAGTGTCCCCACTGCCTACAGGGACGAGCAGCCCCTGTCGTGCCCTCCTGCAGGGCCCCATTAGCAGTGCTTCTCTGGACGGCTTCCTCCTACTCACCCACTTCCGCCGCCTCCTGTCACTTGCGTTGAACTTAGCGCACCTCATGGTTTGACAAGTCACTTCCAAGTAGAGGTGAAATCATCACTACCTAGGGAGTGTGTTCTAAAAAAGGTTGACATTTCCGGTGCAGAGTCATCAGATCCCAATACATCAGGACCTGTATTGTGCCTAACACAGGTGGAATCTGCATTTTGCAATTTAACCTTGGCTCAAACCAAAAATTAAAAAAAAAAACAAAAAGAGAGATTGGACAGCTTGCAGAAATGATTACTTTTTGAACACCGATAAATGCTGTGCTTTTCCGTTCAAGCCCTCCTTGGCCACACTCCTCTTGGTGACAGGTTTCCCATAAGTCTGCCCCAATCCCTAATGCCTGCTAAGTTTCCCAGAAGTGAGAGCAGTGGTCCCTCTCAGCTGTCCCTGTCCCGGTAAAGACAGGGGGATTTTGGAAGAGCCTGCTAGGATCCGTGAGCACCTTTTCTCCTCTGCCTTTCTCTTTCTACATTATTATCTTTTTCTCTCAGCACCATGAAATCTCTCTTTTTACTTCCTAACCATCTGCTTTCGAGGGGCTGATCCTAGCAAACTGAATAGCAGTTTACTTGCATGAGTGACGTGCGGAGAGGTGTGCCACAATCCAGAGGGCTTCCTAGACTGGCTTGGGTTTGTGTTCTGTGTGTGTTGGCAAAAGAGTATCTGTCTTTGTTTTGGTATTCAGCTCATCCAAATAAAGAAGGCATTTCCTCTCCTAAAAAGCAGAGGGGGAAAAAAAGACTAAGAAAAAAAATTTCTTTTTTAATTTTAACCATGGACTCCTCTGAAACTACATATACACCCCCTTCCTCTGTCCTGATTGGTCCTCATCGACTGACAAGTGGATCGTGTGGAAAGGAAATATCTTGGACTTAATTGTAAGTTAAGTCTCTCTTAATCCAGAAGAGCATTTGAGATTCTGTCCAAGTGTTCAATTTCCCAGGCCGCTGAGGTCTGTGAATTTCTTTTCCCAGCCTCCAGGCTGCTGCAGTACAAGTCAGCATAGCTAATGCAGATAGATCTCCTGCCTCTCGCTCTCCTCCTCCCTCTGCTTTGATTCGATATGAACAGCCTGGTAACTCCGATGCTGGGGAGAAATCTGACATAACTCTGCAGATGGCTAGGTTGCCATGAAACACCTGGGGATTGTTCTTTAAGGAAAAGGTAACATTTATATGCTAATAATTTCTCTCCCCCCACCCCCAACCCCTTCCCTCCTTGTTGCATTTTTTCCAGGACTGCCAGTTCCCAAGAAGAGCCCAAAGTCGGTAAGGACTTGTCAGTTACTTGGTACTGGTTTTTTGGGGGTGGAGGGTGGGAGGCTGGTGGTGGGAGGAGACGCTATCTAGCTGGACTTCACTAAATGTGTTTTAGAGTGGGTGGAGGAGACAAGAACCAAGGCTCATTTTATTAAGTTCTGGAGCTCCGTTTGGTATAGAAGGTATTATCCGGTTTGTCTTTAACTGTCCAGTGATTTGTAGGCAGGCTGCAGGAGCCTGGATAAAGAATGCACATTTGTGATCTTCTCTGTATAAATGCTTCACAACTCTCATTCCAATGCATGAGTCTCTTAGATGTTTTAACTTGATACAAATGCTATTGTTTCTTTTGGGAGGAGGGAAGAAAACCCTTTACCTGCTTCCTGAATAGCATTGCTCTCAACTGGTGTTTCCAGCCATTCACATGGGTGGATTCCCTCCCTAAGCTTTCTTATGCACTGGATAATAAATTATTTAAAAATTGTAAAGCCTGTAGGTTTACGGAGGAATAACTCTGTCCTGTGTATATGCCCATGCTCACATGGAAAATGCCCCAGCACTGAGAATAAGACATTTTCCTTTTTGTGGAAATATCCTTTGTTGTTTTGCCGGCTTTAGCAGCATTATGCTGCAGGTATAGGATTCTTTAAAAAAAAAAAAAAAAATCAATGTTATGCTGTCCTTTCTAATCTGGTTTCCCTGAAGATGCATTACCTAGTTGACATGTTAGCTAATAGCTTAGAGGCTCTAGTGTTTTGCTTGGTGGTGGTGAGCTTCTGCTCCCAGGGCACTGACAACAAATTAAAATGCTACTTAAAAACTCAAAATCTGGAACTCCGGTGCCTGTGCAATTGATCTAGGTGAAAGAACTTTTCCCAAATCTTTAACACTAAAATACTGAGAGAGGGGTGTGCTTCCTTATGGCTTAGAATATTAGGGGGCTGGGGAGGGAAAATTGACAACCTTCTGCCATCCAGGAGCGGAGAACCCTTAAAAACTTTGCAGCTTATGTGCTGCAGCTGAATTTTTCCACCTGTCTCCAAGCCTGGCAGCAAGAGGCAGAAGTTTATTCAGGAGATGAGAGAGGGAGCTTCCTGCATTCATAAGCCCTACTCCTAAGTTCTCCAAAGAGAAAAACCTGCAATAATTGATGTGATTCTAGTGGCATGATACCATGGTGATGGGAACATGTGACTTCGGGGCTGCCTCCCTTGTCATTTTGTGTTAATGTCCAGGCTGAGAAGGGCTGGTAGGTGTCCGTATTAGAACTACGGAGATTCCAAAGCTTGTGTGTGTGTGTGTGCACACGCGCGTGTGTGTGTATATGCATGCATATGTGTCTCCCCATCCCTGGGTCGTAGTCAGAAACCTTTTCGGCCTTCAGAAAAAAATAGAAACACAACTGAGAGACGTGTCACACGAGCTTGAGTTATCAGGAGTCATCCTTTTTTCTCCCCTGCCCCCTAGCATGCTACGAGATGCATAGGCTTACTTTATGCACTCCACATGACATGGAGTCTTGACACGGAGCATACTGGGAGAGAGAGCAGTTTGGCACAGCCAGGATGACATCAGTAGCAAGGGGTTCTGTGTTGCTTTGCATTCCATTTAAACTTGCTGTGCAAAAGGATCTTTGTAGATTCATTTGCATCTTTTCTCCCCCAACACATTGTGGAATCTCCTGCTGAAGTCGAAGGGTATCAGACAGGTATAGGGGCCCGCCTTCACCAAATCAGTTAAGAATTCCCCGTGACCGTTTATTTTTGTGGAAGCTGTGTCATTAGCAAGCAGCAAACCAATTACTCAGGCTGCATTCCTAGGGAAAAAAAGCTTTCTTAACTGCTTTGCCCACAGTCTGCTGGCTCTTAATTACCACAAGCTAAGAGACTGGTGTGTTGCTGGGTTAGAAAAGAGCCAGCCCCCAGCCTGGGGCTGTCCTTTCCTGGTTTCTCTGCCAGGACAGGGATGGTGGTTTTCACAGCATTGCTGGCACCCTCTGGCAGCTGCTGCACAAAGTGAGGGGCTATCAGCCAAGGTCTGCTGTTGCCAGTTAGAGCCTTGCTAACATCTGTGATCAGTGGGAGTTCTGTACAGGTGGGTTGAAAGCTGTTCCCCTTTCCCAGTATGAATTTTGATGAAGTCCTGCCAGAGAGACAGATGATGATGAGATTTTTTGGGGTAGGATGGGAGGGAATCCACGGGGAAGTTGAATGTCCTGGTTCCAGAATGCCATTCCCATAGTGACAGACAGGGTCAGTTAGGCTGTGGAATGAAATGCACACTGTCTGTGCCTGGGTTATGATATGCTGAGAGTTACTATTAGTTCTGAGATACACTGTCTGAACTGAGGATGGTGTCTGTTCTTTATTTGTAGAGCCTCCTGACGTTGTTGGCTTGCTCATGTGACTGACAGCTTCCTTTGCCCTCATACCTTTTTTTTTTTTCTAATGCTTTCAATAATTAAGTAGTTGGGTTTTTATTAGAACAGAAGGACTTCTCTTTTTTATCTCATTTCCCCTCCTGGATAGTCTCTGTAACTTACTCTCAATCAGCAATTTCACCTGCTAGGTTTAGTGTAAATGTTAAATTTATGGTTTATATACTCATGGGGGACAATGGTGATATCTTAATAAAATCTTTCTAATTTAATGCCTGGACATCCATAGCATCAGGGATTTTTCTGCCAAATGGCAGAGACAAAAATAAGACATATTTGCTGTCAGGTTTTAGCCCTCACTGGGAAACATTCGGTGGCCCAATTTAATCATCTTGACTGGAAACTTGTTTAACAGAGACTCACACAAGGATTTTGTGTGTGAGAATTGAAAACTTGGTATCACGCTAAACCCTGAATTTGAAGTCACTGTTCACCTAGGTTTGTTCGATAGTTCATTTCCCAACCGTTGCTTCCTTTTCTCTCTTCTTTCATCTGTCCATCTATCCATACATTTCTCTTTTATCTACTCATCCTTTCATCCATCCATTCAGCAAGCTGGTGTTGAAAAACTACTAAGTGTCAGGTTTGGTGTGAGCTACTGGCAATGATGTAATAAATAAGATGGCGCCTTCTTGGAGCCTACAAATGATTTATTGATTGCGCCTTTCAAAAAAAGGATGCCCTGTCACAGATCACTAAACATTTTTATGCATTTGTTCCATCAACAGATATTTATTGGGTATCTCCTATGAGCCAGACCCAGTGCTAGTATACAACAGGAACTAAAACAGAAAACATTCAAGCCCTCATACAACTTGCGAGAGATAAAAAGACAAATCTATCTATACTCGCCATCCTCATGAGGCCTAAAGTCTGATGAGTATGTACTTTTAAAAGGTAGCAAAGCAGAAATATAACATTGAACAAGTACACACATAATAAAAGTCATTGAGCTCTTAATGATAATAACCTTAGTGAAGTAGTCATCCGAAGCCATAAAAAGCCATTTAAAAAATTGAGTTAGATGCTGTGATGGGGCTATGAAATTCTTCTGAGTTCCCCAGCAGCCTACGCAATGTAGGTAACCACATTATTTACTTATCTTTTATTTTCAAATTAAAAAAAAAAAACATAATGTGTTCACTAAAGAGACAGTATTTTCCTAGTTTTGGAAAAAATTTCTCACACAAAGTTTTTCTAAAGGACACCAAATGATGGGCGAAGAAGTATCTTCAGCAAACACAACAAGATGAAAGCAGCAACAATAACAGGTTTCTGTCCCATTGTTCTCTGTCCCTTACTCCTGGAAGGACTTCTGAGGACATAGTTGACAGCTAGTCACCAAAAGATGTTAGGTAATGTACACAGTTAGGTAACCCAGCCTGAATCCTCCTGAATGCTGCCTCTCTCAGATTCTCCCATTGCATTAGTGCCCCGAATGCCACTTGACCCAGAGCCAGGACAGTGGTACAACCCACCTAAGTCCAAGCTACGAGGAAAAGCAGTGGGAGAAGGAGATGGTAGGAGGCCTCCCATTGCTCACAGCGGCTCGTACCCTCAGCCCTTTGGAGCCTTGTGAAATAGACTTTGCTGTTGTATTAGACTCCATTAAAACATACGTAATTCATTTTCATATTAATCAATACTCCCTTTTCTTCTCCATTAACTCCTCTTTCTTGCTTTTTGGAGAAAATCATTTGACTTAGACCCATAAATGATAAAAGAGAGATAAAAAGGACCGTCCTCTGCTTTGGTTTGTATCTGAGACTGATTTTGGAGCAACCTTTAATGACATTGGCCTAATACCTCATCAGCACTTGGAGTTTTTCCTGTTGTCCATGTAAATCACTGCAGTGGCCTTCAGTCTTGGCAGATACATGAACTGTAAATAATTTTGCTTTAAAAATGGATCGATTTGTCATTTTTAAGCCATATGAATTCTTTTCATCATTTAAGCGCCTAAGTGCTGTCTGTATTAGTTTGCTCTTCCGAGCAAATATTTTCAGCTCGCTTTATAAGTACCTCCACTTTGAAATCATTCTGTGAAATACTAATGAGCTGACTTTTTCCCCCATTCCCATTTGTAAAATCCATTGCATCTTTCCAATTTCCCTGGCCTGTCAGTAATAAGGAAATCATTTGTTTTAGGGAGATTGGTTCAGTGTTATTTTAAAAGGTCTTATGACACAAGTTCAAGGCTGGTGTGTGGCCAAGGACTTCCAAGGAGTTTTCAAAATTGAACCCATTTCTTTCTTCCTAGTTGGCTCTATGTGATACTCAGAAATAAAAAATCTTGCTCCAAAAATGTCCACGTAGTGACAACAACTTGTGTTGGAGATACTCTGCTCAGTATGTGGTACCCATTTCCAGTCGTTTATTTAAGCTGGAGACCTACAGGTAGATGTCCATGTCTCTAGGATCTCCTTTTCCTCTGCCCAACCACTCCTCCTGCCCTCTCCTCCTCCTCCTCATCGTCTTCTCCTCCATTCAAGCTTTCAGCAATGCCTGTCAATCTGGCACCAAAATGTCTTTTGATTTTAGTTGTCCCTCCCCCCCCACTTTTTTTATGTCC